TAATTGAAAAGCAGTTTGTATTCAAATGTAAGTTTGAAACTATCTCAAAAATCATGAATTTAAAGGTAAATATGATATTTAATTTTTTTTTAGTTGATTGTCTTCTGACTATTGAACTTGTAGGTTATATTCAGATCACTTACCAAACTTATTGTTATATGGAAATAACCTTTACATTGAGTATTCAGTTATCCAAGAGCTTAAGCTTTTAAGAGAATATACAAAGTACTGTATGCCTCTTGACAGATTTTTAGGTGCTAATACAGAAATAACTGTATTAAGACCAAAAGACTGTAAGAGTCTTATGGCATTTATCACAACTGAGTGTCTGGATCATCTCAGTCATACACAGAAGCAAATATTTGCCTCTATAAATCTGTTCCAAATTTACTAAGCATTTCAGATGTCAAGTGTTGGAAACACATTTGGCTACTCTTGTTTCCTTCAGCTCAGTATCCAGAGTTTGTTGCTGGCTTTTGTGCTTTCAGAATCATAGGCCTGGACAAACAGACCTCCTCTGGCTCAGAGGAGGTTGAAAAGTGTAGTGAGGGAAGGTAGGAATTTTTTTTGACTTATAGTGGTGGTGGTAATGTGACCCAGGTCTCTTGGTAGGCCAAGTCATTTGAGAATATTGCAATAGAGCCTTGCTGTGGGGTTGTGTTCTATGCTGGTAATGCTTTGAGCAGAGCATCCAGTTGCAGTCAGGTTTTGAAATGGGAGGTGATGTCTTTGTGGCTACAAGCAGCAACCTCTCAGGCAGATTCAGGCAGCACTTGCATGGAGTTCTTCCTGTATTTATCTCTGCCTCTATAAAAATAATGATTTGAATGAGTGAATTGAAAAATACTTAATTTCCTTGTTATTTCCTGGATGTTGTCTAATTTTCTGTTTCTTATTTTTCTTACCTATGTCTATATATTTTGAACTTTTCCACATACTGGGAGATTTCAAATGCTTCAAACACTGACTAGTTTTTATGTTCTACTTTAAAAACACTTGGTCATGAGTTGTCAGAGTTTGGACCGTGTTGTTTGAGAAACTTTGTGCAGTTTTCAGTGATTTGGATGTATATCCTGTGCTTGAACACCACTGGTATGAGGTGAACTAGATAATGTTTGAAGGCAGGAAGAGGGGAGAGCCCAAGACAATTTTTTGCTGCCACCTTTAGTAATGGGCTTATTTTGCATTAGTTAGTCCCTATGGTAATGAAAAGTTTTATTTGGGATGCACCTTTCAGACTTCACTAAGGTTTGTAGAATATGGATGGGCATGAACTTTTCAGGTGCCCTTCCAAACCACACTTAATCAAAAATGAAGATAAATTTGTCTGCTTTCAGCCTGAGTGGCAGCCTGAACCTAATTTTCAAGCATCTCTTGGGTTTATTATATTTTGAAATTTAAGAAGTGAAGAAGATAGGAGAAGGGTTGGAAGGCTGGAGGTTTCTGGAATTGCAGCAATAACTATGTTGTCATGGAGCTTCATTTATTTGATTTGAAAATATAAGTACTTTCTGGTAAGGTAAGACAATTTTGGAAAAATGAAGTCTTGCTGTTCTGGGGTTTGCCACCTAAATACCACACCTTCAAATTACTTTTCCTTCTCAGAATTTTATATCTTTTATATCCATGTTGTAACCTGTAAAATTTGCATAAATGCACAGTGTTAGCCTCTACTTTCTGTATCTTGTGTATTTGTGATTATGTGGAACAGGCCTAAGTCTGAGTTTAGTCTTTTCCCCCTTGAAACTGGGAAACAATAGAAATATATAGATAATAATATAGAAAAATATTTCTTCAGGAGAAAAAAGTTCTATTCAAGATGAGGTAGTATGTGGATTCTTTCAATCAAGCAAATTCTTTGCAAAATTGCTGTATATGCTCTTCACAACTTCGATATATTTGGTCAGCTGCATTGTTTGTGTCCCATATTTCTAGTGCATTATCCATTATGACATATTCAGGTTTGTTGAAATCTGCTAATCTTATTTGTTTTGTTTCAGTGGAGATTAAGTGCCAACAACAGAAAGCCTTCCACAAAAGGGAAAAGGCAAAAGGATTGCAACAGACAAAGCTCTAATGATGAAGAATCAATTGGGTAAGAAGTAATCTCAAAATTAGTTTATCTCTGTATATTCAGAGTATTTCTTGAAGATGAGTGTCTCTGGTCTCTAGCTAATTATTTGTGTCATGCAGAGATGGTTTTCAAGCGTTACCTTACAATCATGCTTCAGTGGTCTAATGGCAGCTGTAACCTTTCCTTTCTGTAATTGAAGCACAAGACTGTGACATTAGAATGAGAATGCTTACTAGAGGAATTATTGCTTGTTAACCTGCTTGGAGTCCTGGAAGGGGTTCATTACTCTTTAAGTGTAAATTGTCATTCTAGCCCTAGATATCTTTAGATATGTAAGAAGCTTCCCAAAATTCTTTTTCTCATCACTTTTTGTTCTGTACTCCACTCCCATTAGCCTAAGCTTTCAGCTCTTTAAAACAATATAAAAATACCTTTAACAATATGGTGATTATTAGTGGAAGGAAGATTAAAAAAAAAAAAAAAAAATGAAAGCTTTTTCAGCTTGGTGTTACTGTCATGGCATTTAAGTAATTAAGACTGCTGATGTGCCACTTCTTTATTCTCTGTTGCCAAGAGCAAATATCTTGGTTTCTTTGAGATTAGGGCAAATTGATATGCTATTTATTATAAGATAAAATCATCATCTGCAGAGTTGTCACCTACGTAATTGTTTATCCAAGAATATTTTGAAGCTGTAATTTCTGTAGTTGGCAAATGGAAATGAAAATGTAGAACTAGGTTTATTAGCAGCAGCTTGGAAACATAATGACTTTGTGACAAAATTAATATGTTTGTTGTAATGAAACAATTGTTATTCCCCAAATCACTTAATTCTAAATAAATGAGTAAGCATTCTCTGCCCTGTTTTCTGACTGCAACTAAACTTACCCATAAGTGGTTTCTTTTCAGGAGAGACTGTTCACAAAAAACAAAGTGCACAGGTAATGAAAATGCAGGTGACTTTGACACTGCTGACCTCTGTAGGTTTATGGTTTATGAATAGTCATTGTTTAGTCTGGTCTGTATATTCAGAATGCTTCAAAGTTGCAGGGAAGAGCTAAAATTGTAAAAGATACTCAGTTTATTTTTCATACCTCCTCAGAGGCATAGCTGTCTGTTTATATATGTGCTTGCCTCAAAAAGCTTCTGTCAGTAACTCTTAACTGAGAGAACAGCTCACAGGGTCAACCTAACAAATAAAATTCAAGAAACTGCAATTAAATTGTATATTGTGGCATGGTTGATATATGATATCAAGATATCAATCTCTAAAGGTCTTACAGGGAACTTTAAACTGATCTTCAAACATTGAGAAGTTTGGTTTCTTTAAAGCTATCTTTAGATCTGTTGTATATTAATTTTCAGTTGCATATGTTTATTTCAATATGTTAGAGACTTTCAAATAGCATTTTTAGGTGTTCCATAATTTGTATGCAAATTGTTAGCAGTGCAATAGTGAGGAATTATTTAGACTACAAGGATACAGCAAATATTCTGATATTAAGCCTGTACATTTTTCAATTCCTTGAAAAGAGATGTGTGTCTAGAGACCAGCTGGAGCCTCTCCGTAAAATAAATTTACTCTCCTGTCTGCAATGAAGCTTGTACTAAGTGTTCCATTTGGGTACTCAGTGTTTCTCAGTAAGTCAGCATCAACATGGAGACCTCATTGCCTAATAAGTGAAAAGAGCACACAGGTTCTAAAGAGGTGATGTTTGTTGAGCAAGAGTCTGAGAACTAACAAAACTCAGAAGAGAAAAGAGTGAATTGAAGTGCTGCAGGTCTTTATGATGCATTAGTTTTTATTCCCAGTGAGGAATTCTTCATTTGCTTCGCAAAGCTGGAAGTAAGTCTTAATGACAAACTCCTGTTAGCTCCTGATATTTTAAAAGCAAACTAAGTATTGATAGGAGCCAATCTTAGATGCTTAGGGAGATGTGTTTTGTCTGAAGTGTTGCTTCAGGACTCTTACCTAATTTTAGTCATAAAGGACAAAGTGGATGTATTAGCACAAACCTACATCTTCACACTGAGTTTTTTTCAACTTCTGGATTACAAAGTTTGGTAGTCAATTACTTGTCAGTTGTGCTGTGATGTGAGCTAATGGAGCTTTGTAGCAGCAACTGCAGCTGATGTCACTGGTACAGCTCTGCTCCTGGGCTTGTGAGATGATTGTCAGGAGGTTTGTCTGTGGTCCCAGAGGGGGCTCCTGGGGTAGATAACTTCCCTAGTTACAGGGAAGGGTGGAAGGAATACTTAAATAAGATGTGTGCAATTCTTTCAGGTCAATATTTTAAATGTTCAGTGAAATACATGTTAACAGCTGAATCAAATACTGACCCTGTAGCAATAAGGTTTTTGTGGCAATCATTTACATACTGGTCCTCCTTGCCCTAACAAGTGTATTTGGTCAGGATTTGGGTTTACTAGTAAAATAATATGGCCATGAAGATAGTGGTGTAGACAATTAATAGTAATTTAGTCCCAAATGAGCCAGTCTTGTCTCATTTTGATCACTTTCTAATACAAATCTGAATGAATTTGAGACAGGAGTTCCAGCACTGGTGTGTATACACAATATGATTGTTGGGTAAGGAACCATATCAAGCAGCTGCCATTTTTGCATGAAATAGAGGTCAAATATTTTCCCCAAAGAGGTATAAACAATTAATAGCTTTTAGTCCTGTGGTTTATAAGGTAGGATAATTCTTTTCTTGCCTGTGAAAAGCAGTATGAGACTTGTCAGGAGCAGCTAACAGCATTTTTCATAATGTATTTTTTTTTGTCATTCCATCATTACATGCATAAGTATGTTTTCATTGCCTTTGCTTTTGTATTTTTTTCAGTTTTGGGGAGGTAAATGAGAGACTATGGTAGGTACTTGTTTTAGAAACAGAAAAAATTGTCTTTAGTTTTCCTTCAAGATGCCTCCAGTGTAATTGTTTTACAAATTGCTTGCTGGGTCTATTGGTGGGTCTTGCTTTTAACATATGCTTTGCTTTTTTCTGTTTTACACTTTAATATTTTGAAATGTCTTTTGCTTGAGTTGCTCCCTTTAATCTGTGGACAATTTAACGGATAATTTAGGGATCTGTGTCCCAGCCATTGTTTACAGATGTACAGGCTGGGTTTAGATGTTTCCCTTAATCTGTTATACTGCCAGTCTTAATGAAGTATAGATTGATTATGATTTTCAAGAAACAGTGCCAGAGGCCATATCCCTTTTAGAAAGGAAAGCCATTGAAAGTTCTTATGCTGCCCTTCAGCTCTGAAGGTTATTTCATAACCAGTTGAAAAACTTCAGTCAAAACCTGGTGCCAGATAAGAAGTGATGCCTTGGCCTGGCACTGACAAGTGTATACCATTGACTTCCCTGTTTAAGGCTCCTCTCCTTTGAAAAGATTGCCAGTGCAAAGCTTGCTTCATGGTATGTGTGTGTGCTTGAAATTATACATTGATTTTTGCTAAAGTACTTGCCTAAAATCCATAAACCCCATTTAAATCAAGGGCATGGGGAACATTAGAAATCCAGTAATTCCAAGTAACAATCAGTAATTAAGTAATTACAATCAGTAATTAAATAGAGGACCCTGGAGTTTGTTAAGGTCTAGACTGATGTGAGTGTGAGCAAGGGATGTCAGAGCTGGATTTTCAAGACAGCCAACAACCTATAGGTAGTGAAATTCTGCTTCTGACTCCTTTGCCTCATGCTGTGGGCTTTTTCTGTCATTATGTTGTTTAAACACTCAATGTTGGAATATTTTCTGTTATCTTTACAAGTCTTGATTGTACATGGTCACAGTGTCTTTATTTTAATTGTGTGTACCCACTGGACTAATTACCTTGCTGTTTGAGCCTAATTTAGTAACATTTCACTGGGATATCATGTTTGAGAAATCAAAAGAAAAAAATAGGTAATTTCTGTGGGGTAGAACAATGAAAACTGAAAGAATTGAGATCTGGGAAACTGATAGCCTTGGTTTGTTTTTAGTCAGGAGAGCTGAAGTGTTCCATAGAGAATAGCACATTTATGTTGTCTCATGTTCCCCTGATTTTAATGATTTTAAAACATTAAGAAGCAATTTTCTGGTTCACATCTGCATATTGCTAGGGCTTACTTCTACGACTATTCTCTATTTAGAAGAAAAAACGCCATTTAGTTACTTCAAGGTTTGATTTTTTGAGTCCTGTTGGAAAAGGAGGGGAAATAGCTGACTTAGTCTTTGATTGCATCATCTCTTCTGGCATCCCAAGATCTGAAGTGACTTCAGTTCTTTAGTCTTCAGTGACTGGCCCTCTAAAGTAGTTTGGGTATTTGTCTTTAGGGAGGAATTTGACACAGAACAAGAGTGAATGTCACGTTTCAAAAGATTACTTGTATAAATATGCTTGATGACTTTTACCTTGAAATTTCCCTTAACTGCTTCAGTGGCTGTAAATTTTCCTAACAGCCTAATAAGTTCTTATGTAGCTGAATTTTTAATTGATCATGTTTCTTAAATATGTGTTCTCTATTTCCTTGGATTCTGCTTATTTATTTATTATTTCTTATATACATTACAGTGGACAAACAACCAATGATGTAAGAAATCTGGTTGCTATAAGCTCTTCTGAGGTGTTAAACTGTGGTTCATGTGTAAACTCAACGTTTGAGAAGTCCAGAAGAAAGCCAGAATTTCTGCTTTAGTGGGGATTTCTATAGGAAAATAAATCTTTTGCTTCCTGTGCTGAATCAAGAACATTTACTGGACTTGGGATGTGCTCACTAAGCTGCAGCAGTTGAGCTCTACCATTTAAGACATTAATGTACCTAAACTGACCCTCAGGATCTGTGTTCACTTTCTAAGCTTTTCAGTAATTAAAACATGTCCTGAAATGCAATTCCAGTCTCTGGATCCTCAGTGTTGGACAAGCCTCTGCAGTATCTGAGGCAGGTTCTTGGAACACATTTTTGTATTAGCATTCATAGACTACATACAGAACTAGGTGAAAGAAAATAAAGGTGAAAGCCTTTCCCAGACTGAATAAAACATTCTGGAGCTCTACTGTGCTTTATATTGGTACTCAAATGAGACTGCCTTTGCATGTGTGACTTTTTATTGCTTTCACAGAGCCAATGTCTCACTTGAAAAACCCAGGATTGTTTTTTTTTTCAACAGCTAATCTGTTACATAACACTTTGTCCTGTGTCCATGTCCTTGGCATCAGAGTGCCTGAAGTGCATTTTGGGGTTATTTTTTTATTGGTGCTTTTTTTTTTTTTTTCTTTTGAGATGAAGCCTTAGCTCTTTTCCACCAATTTTTCTTCAGGAAACTTCTGATAGAAGTTCAGAGAGTGAAGGAAACTGCCTTCGCTTGAGCTTAAGTTACTTATGTTTGAAAAGGAGCCATTTAGATTTATTGTGCATTTGCAGTGGTCTGCAAAGTGTGAAGACAATTCACTGGGGTACAGGAAGGAAATATTTTTTGTACAATTACGAAATATTCATATCATCTTTATTGCATTCCTTTCTAAATTTCTATTCCTGTGTTTTATAATCATAGAATTGAGGTTGGAAAAGACCTTTAAGATCTGCCTGCCACTAGTATTTCTCTGTAGATTATTTAATTAAATAAACTTTGTAGAAGGTACACGCTCAAAATACTTATTCCTGTTAGGGATGTGTGATTAAAACATTTTGGAGACTGCTGGTATGGGAAAAGCATTGCAGAGCTCTAAGAGAGCACATTATGGCATTCAGGGGTGCAGAGATCTCATCTGGTTGACAGCCATCCATCTTATGGGCAAGTTGTCCAAGGCTGTCCCCTGCCAAATGGGTAGGAACATGTCAGATTCTGTGAGGGGTTATGTGTCTTGTGACGGTGGTAAGTAACTAGGGAAAGGAAATCTCAATGTCAAGATTGAAAGAGCAAAATAAAGGGGTTGTGTGGAACACCTGCCCTAAGTTCATTGTGTTTCACTAGCATGGCAGTTCCAGACCTTATTGGAGGTTCTGGCATGTCTGTCCTTCAGCAAAAAAAGGTTCCACACTGTACCTGCATTTGCCTCTAGGTACCATGTAGCCAGGCTGCTGAGCTGGATGCAGCATGTCAGTGGGACAATTAGAGTCACTTGCAGAGTTGTAAATGCACTGAGGAAGAATAGCAGCCCTTTGCTTAGGAAATGTTACTGTAGCATGTGTGTAACAGCTATGTGAGTAGTAAGGTTTTTTTTCCTAGCTATTAAAAAAAGGCTTGTTCTACAGTGAGAACAATATTTTTGTTTGTTATGCAAGGCATGCAGTAGGAAAAAACCCAATTCTCGCTTCAGTAATCTTTAAAACCCAACAAATCAGCCTGAACTTCAGTGTCTTTGTAGGACCGGTTCTTGGAAAACAAGTCCAGTACTCAGAGGTTTGAAAATAAAGTAAATCCTGACAAACCATCTATGAGCCATAATGCTTATCAGTTTATAAATTTAATAAGCTGAAGTCCTGCCATGTTGGGATGTGACACTGGTAACTGGGTTCTTTTCCCCAGGACTGAGAGTGACGAGACAGAGGCTGTCTTCTCAGATTTGGACTTGGTAGTTGATTCTTTCCTTATTTGTATTACATATATACAGAGTACAAGGAGCTATGGACAGTAAAATAGAGATTTACAAAATGGCTAATGAAGAACTTCAAGGTCTTTTATATGTCTGTTTGTCCAATTAACAAATGCCAAGTAAATTATTTTTCTTAGTGACCCAATGACCTGACACCTGTGTGCTGCACTGCAGCATTTTCTGTCCAATCATTTTTTGTTACCCAAAAATACCTAGCAGAAGATGAGGAAGGAGAAGGGGACAACAGCCTAAATCTTCCATCTTGTCTTTTGTTTTCTAAAAGAGCTTAAACCGTAAACTCTTAACTTTCTCACCCAGTGACTCAAGGAAACTCTAACTTACACACTCACATTCCCAGTTTCTCTACTTTAACAGCTGTCTCCATGGTGTTATATGAAATTCAGTGCTCTCTTGGGTGTCAGAGCCAGGTATTACAGATAAGGGCACATTTTTCTGTGCCTCTGACCCCAACACTGCCATTAGGTCGCAACCACCTTGTGCAGCACTACAGGCTGGGGAAAGAAGGGCTGGAAAAGCGCCTGGTGGAAAAGGCCTTAATGGTGCTGCTCAGTTACCTTTTGAGGCCAGAAGCCAAGAGAGCTTTTTCAGGCTTGTCTGTTTTTAAAATGTAGATCTCAGAGAAGCAGATCTAACTTCTAAATAGTTTAATCAGTTGTCTATCTCAGAATTAGCCAGCTACTAGTTTTTTCTAGGCACAGAGGGAGCTCTCAGCGGCTTGTCTCAGAAAAATAATTTCTGTAAGTAATGTCTGCTTTACTAAATATCGATTAATACAAAACCAACACAGTAAACATGAGCCAGAGTGTGCCCAGATGGCCAAGAAGGCCAGTGGCCTTGGTCTGTATCAGCAATAGTGTGGCCAGCAGGACCAGGGCAGTGATTGTCCCCCTGTACTCGCCACTGGTGAGGCCACCTCAAGGGCTCTGTCCAGTTCTGGGCCCCTCATTAACAGAAAGACATTGAGGTGCTGGAGCGAGTCCAGAGAAGGGCAGTGGAGCTGGTGAAGAGTCTGGAATATAATTCCTGTGAGGAACAGCCGAGGGAACTGGGCTTACTCGTTCTGGAGAAAAGGCTGAAGGGAAGACCTTATCACTCTCCAAAACGACATGAAAAGAGGTTGTGGCAAGGTGGGTGTTGGTCTCCTCTCCAAGACAGTCAGTGGCAGGACAAAGGGACATGTACTCAAGTTGTGCTGGGGAGCTTCAGGTTGGATATCAGGACTAATGTGTTCACTGAAAGGGTAGTTAAGCACTGGCATAGCCTGCCCAGGGAGGTAATGGAGTTACCATCCCTGAAATTGTTCTAAAGCAAGACATGGAACTTTCTCAGTATGGTTTAGTGAGCATGCTGGTAGTCAGTTGAAAACTTGTTGATCTTGGAGATCTTTTCCAACCCCTATGATTCTGTAAGAAAACTCTCTAAATTACTAGCTATACTGCAGAATTAATTCTTTATGTGAAGATTTCAGTACCAATCTAGCAGAACTACCAAAGTACAGATACTTCTTTAAACACCTTCAGTAGGGCATTTTTACTGACTTTGTAATTCATAATTCTAAGTAATTTGTTCAGTGAAATTGAAAAGAAATAATTGTATCCTCAGAACTGGGAGATTTGTAATAACTTTTTTTTTCCCCCAGCAAGATCATAATTAATCTGCTATATGGGAACAAATAGTATTCATGGTTTTAAAATAAGATGACACAAAATGAGTGCCTATTTTCATATCCTGCAAATGGTCATGCATATACTTTCAGAATAGCTTGTAAGGCCATAGTGACACTACATCCAACATTTTGTGATGCACCAAACAAGATGCACCAAAATTCCCATTTCAGTTTCTGCACTGAAAGTTTACCTCTTCAGTATGGCACATGGTTATGTTGGTCATTCATGCCAGAAGAAGAAACCTTGAAAGGTTGTCCTGATCAAAAGATGAGTTTGATCTTGATTGCTCTTCTCCAAAGAGAACTGCTTTGTAAATTGCCAGGGCAGTGACCTTAATTCTCTAAGGTATGATGCAGAGACAGTGAACTCACAGAATATCTTAGCTGAATTCATGTGACTTAAAAAGTTCTCAGGACCCTATTATTAATGTATTGTTATATGTATGGCAGGCAACCCAAAGTTATCTTGACGAATGTCCTGAGGACGAAAATAGGAAGAAAATATACACAGGCGCAAGCTAAAACTGGTGTTAATTTTTCTGATGCTGGCAAGCTGCAGTCAAATCAAGCACCCTCATCATCTGCTGCCAGCATAAAGATATGGCAGATTTTAAACCCTACTCTCCAAAGTCTTTTTCTGTCTAAAAGGTATGTTGTCTTTGCCTCATGTCACTAAACAAAATAATTTTCCTTGCAGTTATTTCTTTATGAGAAAGTGTTTTTTATTGTACCACAGCTTCCTTGTTCACGAACTGTATTTTATCTCACATCACTGAATGCACTTGTACTTGGTTCCTTTTGATAATCATTGGGAGAGATGGTGCCAGGCATTCTGTAGTGTTTTTTTCTGGTCAAATGGCTTCTAGATGGTCCTGTACTGTCAAGACCAATTAATTCTGATTTAACCACTGGATTCTCCAGGTGTTTGGCTTTTTTTTTTTAATTCTCATGATAAGAATACACTTGAATTTAACTGCAGCCTTTTTCCTCATAAAAAATATCAAGGTGTATTTTCACTGTTACTGCTTTAGACTACTCATGAAAATAGGAAAATTGGCATAAATGATCAGAAGAAAAGCATATCAAGTCCAGTATCTTCTTTGTATCCCTCCAAGCAGCGGTCAGTTGTAGAAATTCAGGGAAAAGTATGGTGAGAGTGAGTTCTTTATTGGCTGGGTTTTCTGTCTGAGCTTCTGATGACAGTGTAGGGGCTTCCTTTATGGGAGGTTATGTCCAGCCTACATGTTTTTCAGTATTAGAATTTTGCTCTTTAAGTTGTATCTCTTAATCGTTTATGCCCTGTGGGTCTCTGCAATCGTGTCTGAAAGGTAGTCTCCTGATGAAAAGCAAATTTGCATCTTGGTGCAAGAGGATATCTGAGTCACACACTCCAGACATCACACAGTCTGTGCAGGAATGTGCTCTGTGGATCAAGACAGACAACAGGAGAATTATGCAGTCAATACCCAAAAGGCAGTGGTGTTCAAAAGACATTCAAAAAGGCTGTAGCCTTACAATCTAATCCAAAATAAATTGCAATGGAAGTGGTAGAATTTAAATCCCAGTGTGAGAAAGGAAGTGGATATGGGCTATACAACAAGCTGGCTAC